GGGTGTAGTGAAACCCTAACTCTACCATGTAGTTTTCTTGTATGTGTTTTGGATGATTCTCATTGGGCATTGTTCAATTCAATGATTGAGGCATTATTTATCATGATTGTGCATACTTGTGCTTGGCAATCTAGGGGTTGTGCATGTTTTGTGCTTAGCATCATTAGGTTTGTTCTTTAGGTGCTTAGCAACCTAAGGATTGTGCATAATTGTGCTTAGCACCCCTAGGTTTGTGCATTTAGGTGTTGGTAATCTAATTTGCCACCTTAGCCTAGTTTAGAGAGGAAAATCCTCATTTCAAGGGAGACTCAACTGAGTTGGTTCTCCTTCCGCTTTCTAAGCCACCTAAACTAGGTTAAGTTAGGACGACCCTCAATAGTGAGTTAAGCAAGTCGATTAATCATTATGCTAACTTGTTTGGTACAATTTTCAGTACGGATTCTCAAAGTATGTCGATAAGTGGCTTCTTTGTATCAATTAAAAGTTCTAATGATCAAATCCACAAACAAATAAACGTTGACGGACCATTTTGGGTATCTTAGACTCTTCTTAGCCGTCTTGTCTTTTTAGTTTTTTTGTCTACCTTGAAAGTAAAACTAAACCTTCGTATAAGTTAAGAGACTGACTAAAATCTCTTTCCTACGCTTCTTTCTTCCATCATCATCCCCCTTCTTACTTCTCCACTTGTAGACTATTGTTGGGAGGTCTTCTTCTCTTCTCTGCCTCTTCATTTTCCCTTCTCTTCCACTTTTCCTCTCTCCGACTGTTCTGGTTATGCGTCCCTTTTCCTAGGAAGCAAACATGACAAAATAAAACTACCAAATTAACCACCAGTACTAGTCCAAGCTCTGTTTTCAATCCCCCATTCTTTGGCTCTTGTTGATTGTTACTCCAATGGCTTCTCTGGAAAACCTGCTCTATTTGCTATTAGCAGGAATTACAGTTCTTGGGAATGTCGCTTTGGGTCGTTTCGTGGTGGAGAAGAGTAGCATAAGCGTCTTGTCCCCGTCGAGCTTGCGATCAAAGCACGACAGTGCTATAGGAAACTTTGGCACCCCTGACTATGGCGGTTACATGCTTGGCTCCGTCGTCTACCCGCAAAAGGGCTCCCTTGGATGTCAGCCCTTTGAAGGCGATAAGCCCTTCAAGTTCAAGCTTCCTCGCCCCACCATTCTGCTCGTTGACAGGGGAGGTAATTCACAATTGTGTTCCCCTGTTCTTCTTACGAGTTAAAATAGAAGAAAACAGGGGAGTTCCCCTGTTTTGACAAGTTTTTTCCCCCCGTGAATTTGATTCATTCCATTCAATTGCACGAACAAATTGCAGACTGCTATTTCGCATTGAAGGTGTGGAATGCGCAGCAAGCGGGAGCAGCTGCAGTTCTAGTGGCGGACACAATCGACGAGCCCTTAATCACCATGGATTCCCCTGAAGCCAGCGGCGACGCGGACGGCTATGTCGAGAAAATCCGGATCCCATCGGCTCTAATCGACAAGTCGTTCGCCGACAGCTTGAAGCAGGCTCTCAAAGAGGAGAAAGAAGAAGTGTTGATCAAGATGGATTGGAGGGAGTCGATGCCGCATCCAGACCAGAGAGTAGAATACGAGCTGTGGACGAACAGCAACGACGAATGCGGCGTGAGGTGCGACGAGCAGATGGAATTCGTCAAGGATTTCAAAGGGCACGCCCAGATTCTGGAGAGAGGCGGGTACACATTGTTCACTCCGCATTACATCACCTGGTACTGCCCGCCGGCGTTCGTGCTCAGCAGCCAGTGCAAGTCCCAGTGCATCAACAACGGCAGGTACTGCGCTCCGGACCCGGAGCAGGATTTCGACGGAGGGTATCAGGGGAAGGACGTGGTGTTTGAGAATCTGCGGCAGCTGTGCGTTCATAGAACTGCGAACGAGACGGGACGGTCCTGGGTTTGGTGGGACTATGTCACCGATTTCCACATCAGGTGTTCCATGAAGAAGAAGAGGTACAGCAAGGAACGTGCAGAGGATGTCATGAAATCGCTAGGTGAAATCCCGTTGACTTTTCTCTTATGCGGGGTTGACTTGAGTTGGGTTCGGTTGATCTTACAGTGATCTACACAAACACGTTGCAGGGTTGCCAGTTGACAAGATTAAGACGTGTATGGGCGATCCTGAGGCTGATGTTGAGAATCAAGTATTGAAGATTGAGCAAGAACGACAGGTTTGTTTGTAGCCCTTAATTTTCCTGGGAATGGTGAGGCTTGTTTTGGTGGGTGCAGAGTTAATAATTTTATATGGTTAACTGGGATCCAATCCAGATCGGGCAAGGAGGGCGAGGTGATGTAACGATACTACCAACTCTTGTGATAAACAATGCACAATACAGAGGTACCTTTCAACATATATATATTTTTTATTATTATTGGTGACATTGTAGACAGTGTATAGTTGCTGAGTCAATGTGAATGCTGATTACTTTCTGCTTTCCGGAAAAAGGAAAATTGGAGAGAACCGCTGTGCTGAAAGCTGTATGTGCTGGGTTTAAAGAAGCTACAGAACCACCAATCTGTTTGAGTCCAGGTAAAGAGAAGCTTGTGCAGATAGGAAATGGAGTTTCTCTACCATTCTGTCTCGATCTTATTCTCTTGCTCTTGTTATTGTGATGGCAGGTCTTGAAACTAATGAGTGCCTTGAAGGGAATGGTGGTTGTTGGCAGGACACTGCATCTAACTTGACTGCTTGCAAGGTCTGATTTGAAGATGTGGTTATGATATTTCCTTGTTTAGACTAGAGCTTTAACCAGTCTGGTTTGCTGCTTCTTTCCCTCTCAGGATACGTTTAGAGGAAGGGTTTGCGAGTGTCCGACTGCGAATGGGGTTCAGTACAAAGGGGATGGTTACTTATCTTGTGAAGGTATGACCTTAATTAGTTTACTCTGGAACAATTCCAAGCAGAAAATGCAGCAAGCGTACTAACCGTTAGAATTCATTCCGTAGCATTTGGGCCTGGAAGATGTGCAATAAACAATGGAGGGTGCTGGTCGGAATCGAGACATGGATCGAGTTTCTCAGCTTGCTCAGTTGGGTGATTTTTCATTCATATCATCCAGTCATGCTTGCAGTTTACATAATCAAATTCACATGTCCTGTGTTGGTCTCATTTATCTGCTGCCCTGACTGAATTGGAAACTAAACATTACTATTACTATATTTCTCCTGTATCGAAACAGGACTCGAATATATCAGGCTGTCAGTGTCCACTTGGTTTCCGTGGGGACGGCCAGCATTGTGAAGGTAATGAATCATCTTCTTACACTCATCGTTTAACATCTCCGGAATTGCTCCCTGCATTGCACCCTAACCTAAGCGTTCCCCTCCCTTTTGCTCGACTGTCTACCAGATATCGACGAATGCAAGGAAGGCAGTGCTTGTCAATGTGATGGCTGCTCCTGCAAGGACACTTGGGGTGGATATGAGTGCAAGTGCAAAGGTGACCTTCTCTACATGAAGGAGCTGGATGCCTGCATTGGTGAGACACCAAAACCTACATACCCTATATAAGTTTGCTTTTTTGTGCAGAAAATGAGAATCAAAACTACTAACTTGTTTGCTTCTCTTGCTAATTCTGCAGAAAGAAATGGATCCAAAATTGGATGGTTGCTCACATTTGTGATCCTAGCAGTGGTGGCTGGAGTTGGCCTTGCTGGTTATATATTCTACAAATACAGACTTAGGGTATCCATCATCTAAACTAGACTTCTGGTTTTGATTCCCAGGGTCTGTTCAATCGTTGGATTCTGCAGCATCGCTAAGTGGTTTATCTTGACTTGAATATTTTTTTTTTTGCAGTCTTACATGGACTCAGAGATCATGGCTATCATGTCACAGTACATGCCACTCGATAACCACGACAACACTAGTGCTATTCGCTTTCCTAACGAATCTCAGCCTCTACGACAGAACGCATAGGCATAAGAATGTTGTAACTTGTAAGTCATGATTTAACTTCCTGCATGATGGTTTCTGCTGCTAGCTAGCTACTGTACTTAGCTCCCAGATCAGTACTGACATTCTCATTTACATTGCAGCTGCTGCTGAAGCAATACGCTGCTCACTTTCTCATACACACAAACAGCATCTCGTGCTTGGGAACCATGCATATGGACATGTCTGGTTATTGATAGATGATCAAAGTTTGAAGGAAAAGAAATACAGAGTTTGACTCAAGAACAAGACCGATCGTCCTGCATCTCGGCCACAGTTTTCATTACCCATCTTTCCTATTTGGGTTCCTCCTGTATATAGAATGGTTGAGGTATAGATGTAGCTGAAGGGGTCGATGAAATAAGGACTCATTATTGTGATCGTGACCAAATAGCAGAAGAAAGCTGAAAGGAATAAAACAATGTTATCGCCAAAAAAAAAACTCAGTCTTGTGTGCTAGCACACGTTTTTTCTTTGTTAAAGCCGGCGGGCGATGCAGTGAGATTCATATGGGCTTGTTTGCACCGGCTAAATCCTACCTGACTCATCTTCTCTGCACATATTTATATCAAAGATTCTAAAATCGTATCGTAGATTGTAGCAGAACAGTCAGTGTTACATTATTTTGTGTGTAAATCATGGTATAACAATACTCAACTTTTCCACAATTGTAAAACTGGAAGGTGATTTGCTGATCGGACCGCCAGTATGATACACTTTCCCGAACGCTGAAAGAGGAATAGAGGTGCTACTGCCTTTGTGGCTGTGTCCTAATTTGCCAACGAAGGCATCGAAATGGGATTTAGAAAGAATCAGTGGGCCTCATATGAATTTGGGCCGCATGAAGGTAATAGAAGAAGAGCATGGTGGGCTTGGCTACCCAGCCGGCCCATTAGCCATTGGTGTTCCATTGTCTTCTTCATCGTCGATAAGAACTTGGAGAAACAGAAGAAGAATCAATCTTCTCTAATACACTACTGATGAAAGTCTCGAACCACATTTGAGGCTGAAAATAGGATTTGAACTTGGCAAGAAAAAAATGCTCAGAGCAACGCGTCTTCCATCCCCAGCAGCAGCAACAGTCTCTGCTCTCAGACCTTCTCTCGTTCCATTCCAAACCTTCTCTTCCCTCCATTGTTATTCTCGCCTTCGTAAACTCGGCGCCTCTCCACCTCCACTCTTAAACCCTTTGTGCAGAAGAACCCTTACTTCTCCACCTTCTCTTGCCTACAATAGGGCCTCTTTCTCCATGCCAATGGTGCCGGGTCGTCCACGCCCCAGAGGTAGACTTCAGAATTCGGCTCTTGTTATCCTTTTTCTTCCGTTCCTTCTTTGTTTAGGGCTCTCTTCTCAACTTTCCTGCTTCTTCAGCTTTATCCTCTCCTGCAAGTGGCTCCGGAGTTGAAAGGGAATTACTTGTACAACACTTGCTTGTCAAAGAAGGTGATGAAAATCTTCTGGTGGACTTTCAGCGGAGAATTGCAAGAGGTTAGTTCACACATGTATATCAATAACCTGCAGAGGGTTTGGTTTAAACGAACAATGGTATCCCGAGTTCGACAGTAGTTGGATGTCAATTGGTCTGTGGATTCTGCACTCCGTTGCAAATTGGTTGTATGAATGTAATTTGGATATGGCTTCAAGATATATGCTTCACCCCAATGGTCAATTGCATTACTACATTTGTCCATTCTTGCTTTCTGAAGGAGAGGATTTGGGTGACCTCGCCGCTGAGTACTCAATTTGTCCTTCCAAACAGGAGGGAGGACTGCTTGGATGGGTGAAAAAGGGACAAATGGTAAGCAATCATTGTGGTCTTTGATTAATCTGTATATGTAACTTTACTTCCTAACCATTCTTGTATGTACCCTAGGTCCCTGAATTTGAGGAAGCTGCATTTACTGCCCCTCTAAACAAAGTTGTGAGTTGTAAAACACAATTTGGATGGCATTTACTGCAAGTTCTCTCTGAGAGGTCGCCTTCTTGAAACTTTACAGGGGAATGCTTACAGCGGCTTTTTCGTCTATGTTTGCGTATTGTCTCATTCCATCTACTAATTTTCTCTTAATACCAGAGAAGAATGTGTGCTTCGTGAGATTCAACCGAAGGACTTTCATGTCAAATTCCAAGATCCAGAGTTTCTTGTGGAGGTTCAATTGATCGATGTCCGAGAACCTGATGAAGTGTAAGTCCCCTTGTTGCTCTGAGTTGAATTCATCTTCCGCTATTAATTCCACAAGATTGATTCAGTACTGCGAGGTTAGAAGGGATTGTTTGGATGAGGGATTTCATCCAAATCCCGCACCCTGTGATTTTAACCGATGATCAATTTGAATAACTAATTAAGTTAAGAAATTATCAGACGGTGTATGTTATGTTGTCCTTGATTGACAACCTTACATGATCTACTATGAACAACTATTCTAAAATCAGGAAATCTCAATTGTGAATCATTATAATCTTCCTGTGACAAATTAATTCTAAGATTGATATATGTTTATGCTTAAGCATGCTATGTATGGACCATATGTATACTTTTTTCATCACACCATTGTTTGCTTTTGTTGGCTTCTTTAAATCTATAGTTGTTTGGCAAGGATCCAACATGTATTCTATGTTTAACTGCTTTCTTCATTCTTGTTTTATTTTATTTTTGGTTTTAGGGCCAAAGCATCATTGCCAAGTTTTGAAGTTCTGCCACTCCGTCAGTTTGGAACTTGGGGTCCTGAAATAACTACCAAACTTGATCCTCAGAAGGACACATATGTTATGGTATGTATATTTCTTCTCATTCATTCTTAGTTGTACCCTTCCTTTTAATATTATCTCTTCATTATGGAAGCATCTGTTGTATAATAAATGATGAATAAGGATACTTTACAAGAGGGAAAAAACGTTAACTCTATCTGGTAGAGTAGATAAAACCATCTTTCCTTCATATTCAATTTGAAAAATCACATAATCTGCAGAGTACTTCTGGCTCTTCTCTTAATGATTTGGTTTTGGTTAGTGTAGCCACAAGCTATTCTGTTAAAATTTATCATCATTAATGCGTTTATCAATGAGCAATTACACATAACATGTAGTTGAAACCGAATTGGGTAAATTGATGACCTATAGATCTTTCATTATGGTTTCCTAATATCCTTGCACTGGATTCACTTACATACAATTAACCCATCTCGGGAGCTAGAACTTCTTCAGCATACTATTCGTAGATTCATTTGAATTCTAGTTTTCTTGATAAACCGATGAAAAGAAGTATAAAGTCAACTATTATGAGAAAGAGAATCTGTATAATATTTACTGTTGGCCAGGTGGGCACGCAGAGTCTGGACTGCTTTACAGTCACGTAGACTATTACTGATGCAATAAGACTCCAAATGTAACCTGGAGGTAGTGTCAAGCTATTTGACATTATTGTTATGTTTGAGGTTTGCCCAGTTTTCCATAATCAAGCATGGTCTGTTGAGAACTCATGTAAAACTGTCAACAGCCACCACCACTCAGTAGTAACCTTAGGATACAGTAAAACATAAACCGCTTTTGCTTCAATGTGTTCCTACGTACGGGTGTGAAACCGAGGGCTTGAGGAACTTAGCATAGTTGACAAGCTTTTCTCCAATGTTGGAGTTTGTAAAAAGTAATTTGCAGAGACACTGATCATATAGCTCCCTGCTACTAATATCTTCATATCTTGCATTAGTTGTAAGAACGAACTCCATATTGGAGAAAAGGCTAATAACTAATAAGGCATGTGTCCTAAATATTGCAGTGCCATCATGGGATGCGGTCATTACAGGTAGCAAAGTGGCTGCAGAGTCAGGTAATATATAACCTCCTTATAAGCCCTCTTGAGCTTCTTCTTCTTCTCTGTAGCACCAAAACAACACTTATTTTCTTGTCTCTGAGTCGTGCTTGCATAACTCCCTTCTCATGCTTATGGGTACTTTTAAAAGACAATGGCTGCTACTATGATCTGTAGGGTAGAATCGACACTAAGCTGCTGGAATCGTTTTTGTGTAGGGTTGAGTAGTTGAGTTGGTACTAGAAATACTGTTGTTTCCTCCAACAAGTAATGGCTCATATACGTTTGGCTCTGGGTTTGCAGGGATTCCAGAGGGTGTACAACTTGACGGGAGGAATACATGCATATGCAACCACGGTCGACCCAACGGTTCCCACTTACTAATAGTTTACTCTAGTACCCATCATCTGCCTAATGTTCATGGCTTCTTTTTACCTATTTGCCTAGCTTTTGTAAGTTCAACTTGGTGTATTATCATGTGGCAAGTTAGGCAGCACTTGACCTATTCAGCCATTGAACTTTGCTTCCAATAAATTGTTCTTTCAAGATAACCAATTCACATACTAAGCCCGCATAAACAAGCTCCAAAAAAGGCATCCATGCAAGCCCTAGATTGTAATTACACTCATGATGAGAAATTGGGATGACGTCACCCATAAGTTACCAACTTACCATACCCAAATTTTCGCTCCCTAGCCTCTATCTTCTTTGCTACACTTCTATGGCGTATGGGAAATCAAATGAACTAGGTAAATAAAAGTAGGCCAATACTACAGTGCCGCTATTAAAATCGCCGCACCGGTGCCGCTTAATTTTAATTGGTCCACTTAAGCAACCAGAAAATGACGTGGACTCCTTAAATTTATTAAAACCCAGCCCAAACCCACCGGCCATCAATCACCCACCCATGACCCCAAACATCTGCCCATCCCACCAATTGCTAAATTGTTTGTTCTGTTTTTTTTCCCTCAATCAATCCACTCTTTTTACAGTCAGAGATTGAGAAGTAACAGAGACAGTTCTCTGTCTCTCTCAGCCTCCTTCTCCGTCGCTCAAAACACCTAAAGTTTCGGCGATTTGTCCAACGGTCGCTCATGCCCATCCTCCGTCTCCGTCGAACTGATTCACCGCAATTGGATCCACATGATCCCAAGCCAAACCGAAATATAAATGTCCTCCGACTGCGTCACAAACCTTGTCGGATTGGATTCCTCGCCCTTCATTCCAGGTTTGAATACTTTATTTCGTCGGAGGTAATTGTCCTAGCGGAGTTGATGATCCAACTTGATTCATAAAACCCAGCACCCATCTCCCGTGAGAGTCTCGATCGGATCACTCCTCCGACCGCCGCAGAACTAGAATCCCATGGACGCAGACTGTTGAATCAGAATACTGTGGCGGCAGCCTTGTCTGAGCTGTGTTTGGGCTAGGCTCGCGTATGGCAGAATCTGGAGAATGAATCAGCGAAGGAGAAGCTCGTCGGAATTGCTGCTTATAGTCCGTCGGAGCAAGAGAGAGAGGGAGACAACAAATTGCATCTGTTTGGGGTTTCTTTTTCTATTTTTTTTGTTCCCGCGGAAAATCAAAAGTGAGAAGAATTATAAATTGATTAATGGGTCAAGGAACAGTTTATTAAAATGATAAACAGATTTGGAGATGGAAGACGGAAGAGACGGAAACAGAGAAATCTTCGATCATTTGGCCAATAGCAATTTCGGCCGGTTAGTGGTTAGTTGGTTATTGAGTTTGTTGTACGGTTTAATATATTCAATCAGTGCCATGTCATCATCGATGTGGACCAATCAAAAACCGCGGCACCGGTGCGCCATAAAAGTATAGCTGCACTTGATTTGGGCTCAGCAACCAGGATTGATGGGCTTAAACCATAAGCATAAAACCTGATAAATTTACTTTGGGCCCAAAGGTTGAACTTGCTCTGGGCTCAGAATCATTCAGGCCCGATTATTCCAAAAAGTTTAACACGTTATAGGAAAAATTTGCTCTCGTTGAGAGTCGAACTCAAGACCTCCCGCTTACTAAACGGGTGCTCTAACCAACTGAGCTACGAGAGCCCAACAGTAATTTATCCGATAGCTTTAAAATAGTTAATCCAACTGAAATCTCAGGCCCGAATAAATTCATCCTCTTCGGTCGAATAGCTTCATCGCCTGACAACTATGATGAAATTGCTGGAACATTACAACCACCTGAAAGCCCTAACATTTCAATCGAGATTCATCACCAACTCTCCTGTTTTGCAGCGTTCAACGGTACCAGCATTAGCTGCCACGGTGACATTCCCCGACGGAAAACCAACGCTCACAGATGAAGAAATAACCAAAATCAACCTCCTAATCCCGCGCCTATGCCTCTCGAACACGAACCACCTCCCCACAGCAATCCAGCTAATGACAACAGCTCTCCTTACAAACCCACCTCTCCAATCCCTCTCTTTATCCATTTTCATTCACTCCCTCACCTCAGAACCCGACATGGCTAAACCCATGTCACTCCTCACCGTCCTAAGGCACAACCCAAGTGCCCATGCACATCTAAGTCCCACCGCTTCCATGCTCGTCTCTTCCTATATGAGAAGGAAGCGCCCCAAAGAGGCGTTGAAAGTGTACCATTGGATGCTTAGGCCTGGCTCTGCTTGTAAAGTAGGAAAGGATGTGTACGGGGTTTTGGTTTATGGGTTTTGCAACCTGGGTTTGGTTCTTGATTCCTTGAAGGTTTTGAGGGATATGGTGGATGAGGGATTGCTACCTGGGAATGGATTGAGAAGGATTGTTAAAAGGAGTTTGTTGTGGGAAGCCAGAGTTTGTGATGCAGTTGAGCTGGACACAGCCTTGAGTGCCTGCTGCACTGAAGGAGCTGCTGGCGAATTTTATACGAAACTACTGAACTTGTTAGATTCCTTGATTCGGAATTGGAGGGAGTAGGAAAAGGTATCGTCTTCAGTTCGTTTCTAAATGGTTCTGTACATTGGCATTAACGGTTATGGCTTAATTTTGAGATTGATGATGTGTTAATTACTGTTCAGAAAAGTATTGCACCTGTTGGATTCTGGCAAGAAAAAGATGTGCTTGTGATATTTAATTTCCACTCCATGGTTCATGTTCTAGTAACTTACATGCTTTAGGCTAATGAAACTGCTGAATTCTATGATTTTTCTAACTACTAGTTTATTTTTTGGTTCTGTGTTATCCTTGGGGGAGTTTTACCGATGCAGCCATAAGTAGTTTCTGCATTTGATACCTCAACTTAAGGCTGGACAGCCCTGTTGTATTGCTACATATTGTGGTGAGATTATGTTGTTTGCAGACGACTGTATGAAGTAGAGGGAGGCCTTGTGTGTTGCTAGCTGCTCCAAGTATGTCAATACAAAAAATGGTCACAGCAATCAAGGATGTAGTTGCTGAAGAGTCAAGTTTGTACTCTGTGTTGATTGTTTTCTACTGCACAATCATATAGGGTAGTTTGGTTGTCCTTAGCACCATCATTTGTTTCAGCTCAATCCATTATCTATCTATCCGTCTAGTGTTTTTGCTATTGGTTAAGATTATAAAGTCTTACTTGTTGGACCGTCAGGTTCAGATAGGTATTAGACAATTTGTGTTAACTGTTAAATATTGACGTGAGGGTTGAAATGCTTCTGCACTGCTTTCTTCCTTGAATGGAGTTGTGCCTGAACATAGCATCTGATTGAATGAATGCAGAACTTTCCCTCTTGCCTATTCAGTTGTTTGATCTGAACTTATTTCATGTCCTTGGTTTTCAGGAGTAACATGGCTCGTTCTTGCCTAGCAGTTGTGAGGCTTTCAGGATACAGTGAAGTGGCGAATTAGCACAATTTCACATCGAAGTGGATAGTCCGGCGTACCAAGTGTAGCATCGCTGCAGGCAACAAAAGGAGGAGCAGTTGGACCTTGATCTGATGTGAAAATCCATATTTTTATGTTGTTCTTTGAATTGATGCTTGCCGGCTGAGTAAAAGCTAGAAGAGCAGCACAGCATCTGGTACGGGAAGGGAGTTTCGGTTCCCCTTTTAGTGCATGACCCGCAACTCTTTAATGTTGTTCTATTCCAAATTGTTCCCGTGAATGATTCATTTTTCTTGCCATAAAAAAACAAGGGTGCATCATGTACCCAAACCGTATATATAAACTCATTCTCAGCTTGTCGAACACCAAAATGGAATTACTTGCAATGCACTAAAATCTGATGATCCTAATAGGTTCAGTGTCCCATAAATATTTCTTCACACCCATATACAATTCCCCACAAAAGAAAAACCCTCCAAGAGTTTGGCCCTATTTGCTGCACTTAGGGTTGTAAATAAGATGAGTTGAGTCGAGTTTTACCCCAGCTTGAGCTCAGCTCGTTAATAAACGAGTCGAGCTCGAGCTAGCTTGTTTATTAAAATCTTAACTTTTATTTGGTACTTCATTTTGTATATCATGATACATTGAAAGAAAGAAACCCACCGCAGCCCCTGGTACTGTACACGCAGACACCTTTTACTGTACAACGTGACTGAGATGTACTGTTTCAAACTGGCGTGGGCTGGCGTGTGGGCTGTTGTTGGGTGAGGCCTCATTGCGATCTGATGGAGTTTGGGGGCTCGGTCGGGGTGGGACTGGTCGTTGCCTTCTGGTTGGCCTTAGTTGCGGTCGTTTGGTGGCCCGGACGCGCGTTGGTCATCAGAGATCGATATTGTACTTTGGCCCGAGTGGGCACGTGGGATGGGTCTTCAGATGTGCTCAGTAAGTCTTGCGCGATATCATTGTGTTTCTTGAGGATTCCGGCTGTTGTTCGCAGGACTGTGTTGGAGAAACTTGGCGACTGTTTGGCTGTGGTTGGAGGTACTTTGGGAATGGTGGACAACTGATTGATACCGGTTATTCACCTGAGGGACGGGGCCTTCAGATGTCCTCGGTCAGTCTTGCATGATATGATTGTGTCTGTTAGGGATTGCTAGAGGGTCGTGTTGGGTTGTTGTTCGCATGACTATGTTGGAGAAACTTCCCGGCTCATTGGCTAGGATTGGAGGTGCTTTGGGAATGGTGGGCGGCTGATTGATACCGGTTATTCACCTGATGGCGGGAGGGTGTCAGAAAATTTTACTGTTTTAAACACTGTGTACGTCATTCAGTACCTCGATGCGTGCGCTCAGGTGGAGAAGGTAGTTTCTTATTCTTTTTGCATGCCTCGATGTGTGCGCTCAGGTGGAGAAGGCCATTTCTCAATCTTTTTGCACAAGAGGACTCATTCTCGGAACGCATTTCTCTCTTTTTTTCTCCCCTTTTTGTTCTCTGTGGTTCAGTTGTTGTTTTCTCGCCTTTTTCCTCGCCATGGATGCTACTCTGCTCTGCAATCTAAAAGGAGGTACCAGAGAGGTGACGCTGAGGCTTCGTCTGCTCCATATGTGGTATGCCAAGAATCCTTCTGGGACAAGGGTGTTTAGTCACTGTTGCCTTTGGGTGGATCAGACGGTAGATTCTCTTACGTTGATTCTTTGTGATTACAGTTTTTCCTGTTTTTTTGCTCTTTTTTACCCTTCTTTGCTCTTTCTTTACTGTCTTTTTTTGTTTTTGATTCAGGGTATGCTTATTCAGAGCCTTGCTGATGTCTCTATTGGGTCTGAATTTGAGCGTGTGCTGCGCGTGGGAGTTATCTACGTTCTAAGGTCTTTTGGTCTCAGTGCCGCAAGGAATCTCTATCGTGCATGCTCATTTGATCTGATAATAGAGTTGTCAGCAACAACTATTTTCCAGGCCTGTTCTCTACCTGCAGCTGAATTTCCAACTTATTCCTTTGAGGTTGTTCCTTATAGTGAGCTGTCTAACCGTTTAGGGGACAATCGTATCCTTGCAGGTGATTGTTGCGTTTTCTTGACTGAAATGAATTGGGTTTTATGTCTTCTTATTACTCTTTTTTTTTTGTCAGATGTTGTCGGCCGTCTTCATTCTATTAGCGGGATTGATCATCAGGTTACTAATCACAGCTCGACTCCAAAACAAATTCTGGTCCTTGAGAATGCACAGTAGGTCTTTTGTGTTGTTTTATTTTCCCACTGGGGAATACTGTTTCATCATCGTCACGTAAGATATGATCCTTTGTTTTGCTTTCAGGAACCAGAGAGTGTCGATCACACTTTGGAATGAACAGACGGCAGTCCTTGATCGACCTGCTTTGATTCAGGCGGACTCCATTGAGCCAGTGATTGTTGGAGTTGGGGGGCTCATGGTTGGCCGTTTGATAGGTGTGTATTTTGACTCTTTTCCATTCTGCTTGATCATAAATTATGAACTGATTTTGTTTTTCTTGTGTAGCTGGTGAATATTCCTGTTCGAGCTCCTCTGGAACCCGTATAGTTGTTAGCCCGAGGATACCAGAAGCATACAGTCTCGCTGCTTTGTGGGTTCTTTGTTGTTAAACTGTGATTTTGTTGTTCCAGATTTGCTTTGTGGTGTTTGGTTTGCTTTACTTTTTTGTATCCATCTATACAGTTTTGGTGGATCCAGAGTTCCTGTTGCTGATTTGCCGGTCAAGTTTGCGACCCCAGGGGACGCTGTTGCTGATGCTGAGCGAAGAACCAGGACCATAGCTGAGCTTCTTGATTTGCACCATGGCGGTGCTTCTGTCGTGAGTTGCATTCTTATGTAGTTCTTGATTTTAGAATGGCCTTCGGGTTGTCCATTTATTTATGTGTTTTGATTGCTTTATGAGATTATCAATGTTTATATTCAGGATGAAAAGCATCGTTGTGGTGGTATAGTCCGATCAGTTGAGTCCCGGAGCCCGTGGTATTACATGTCATGCAGCATGTGCAGAAAAAAGTGTTCTACGTGGCGAAATGGTAACTACTGGTGTCCTAACCATTGGGAGATCACTGAGCAGCAAGTGACAGTTGGGTGTGTGTTTTTGTCTGATCATTAGTTGTTGTTTTTGTTTATTTCAATGTGTGCCTGTCAGGTCTCATAGAATTTGCCTATTTTTGTTAGTTTGCACTCCCACGCCTATCCTGATGAAATTGTCTCTGTGTTTTACTGTGTCGTCTCTAGCTACAAGATCCAATTAACCCTGCGTGATGCCACTGACGAGGCCCCTTTCATTATTTTCGGCCCGTGTGGGAACAATTTGGTCCTCACATCAGCCCAACTGCTGGCCCAGAGATATCCTCACAGGTTTGGCCAGTTGCCGCCTGAACTTGAGGCTTTGCTCGGCCAGTTTGTCAGATTTGAGGTCAAGCTTCCGATGGTTGGGTCAAGTGGAGTATCTACGGGTGAATTCCGTGTTTTCCGAGTTATGCCCCGTGATGTTCAGGGCCCAGTGCTTGGTCTTACGGGAGTTCCAGATGTCACAGGCAGTTTTTCTTCGTCCCAAACCCTAAGTCAGTCCTATTCTGGTCAGGAAGGAGTGTTGATGTTGCCTGCTCCAGGTGTGCCTTTCGCAGCTTCAGCTTCTGCTGCCATACCATCTAGGTGAGCATTGTTTGCTCTATTGTTATGTTTGTGTTAGTTAATAACGGGGATTTAGGTATGGATTTGGGCAATTCTAATTATGAATCTTTGCTGTTACAAATCTAGCTCATCCAAAGGAAAGGAAAAGGTTGTTGACTCAGAATCACCTGGAGGGACGAATCCAACATTCCAGATTGGCCAGGTAGCAGGGTTGCCTCTCAGGTAACACATTTGGACTCTTTTACTTGATTTGGTATTGATTCATTACCCTGTGCTTTGTTTCTGCTGTTGCATGGTAAATACTTATGTGCTCATGTGGCTCTTGCAGTTCATCTCAAGTTCCTTTGGCAATCAAGGAGAATGCTGTTGTGTCGGACGTGATTTCGCCAAATTTACTGCCTCCTGTTTCAACTATTGCACCTTTGCTGTCTGTTGCTGATGTGAAGGGAAAAGGAACAGGTCCAGGGGCGACTGTTGTGGCAGCTCCTTTTACCATTGCAGATCCTCTGAAGGTCTCTAATATCCAGTCAGTTGGTGCTGTGAAAGGTGCAGTGGGGACTCCTGGAACTCTGAGTGATGGTATGGATGTGATGAGTTCTAATAGCCAGGGAGTACATGGATTGTCATCCATTGCTGGACTGGGTTCTGAAACTCCTCAGAGTAAAATCAGCAAGTCATCTTCGGCAGTTTCGCCTTTGTCTTCAAGGAGTCTGTGAGTTTTTTACTTTTAAACTTATCGTGTCATGGTTATAATGCAGTTGGAATTTATTGTTTTGGTCTTTGACAATGCAGCTTGATATCACCTCTGGCTAAGGTAAAGATTGAGAAGCTGGAATCTTCTGGAACTGGATCTCCTAATGTGAGGCAGGATGATGAGCAAACAGAAAGTTCGTCCCCTTTTTCGCTTGCTGACCAAGATTCACATCGGGCGCCTGGGAAACCTTCCGCTGCTAAGAGTCGCCTGTATGAATCTTAGGGTACAAATTCAAATCTGATCCCTTTGTATGTAATTTATTAGTTTTGAATGTTGATTGGTTATGTTATTTACTGGATCTAAGTTATGCTAGGTGCAGGAAAGGAGGTTGCCTTTTGTGGATGCTGGATTTGCTTCAAGCAAGAAGTCCTTTTGATGGTGGGCAGGATGATTATGTTGATCGTTTGAAGTTGTGCTGGTTGGAGGGTTTGCAGCTCTTTTGTAAACTTCTGGGGAACCTGTTTGTGAACTTTGTTGTTGCCTTTCTTGGCTAATTTTGGCAACTTTGTGGGAATTATGTTGTTGGTTTCTAGACAAAACTAATGGTACTTCGGGTATCTGTTTATGAGGTGTAAGTTTTAAGTACATATAATTTTCTGTGTAAAATCAGAGTGGTCAGTTTGGACACCTGAAATGTTGTGACCCCAGTGTGGGCAAAATTCTGGCCTTTTGGTCCATCTTTTGCAGAATGTGAATGCTCACCAGTTTTTATGTGTTATCAAGGAATATAGTTTTATCTAAGGTGCCTATGTTTTACATTTATGTCTTAACTCTATGTATATGCAAATATCACAAAACTATTCTTTACATCATGTGATGGGAGAGAGTAAACATTGTCCACAAGAAAAATATGATAAGAACAGGCGAGATTAGTAATGGATAGCAGACATGTGCTAATATTAAAAGGAATCTTTTGGGTTGCAAGATTTAAATAATTTGGGTTAATTATGTGCCCAAAATCTAAAGCATTAAATGCAAAAGCCATCATTGTTTGACCTTGGTTACAGAACCAGCAGTCACAATGTCTACTTGGATAGAGATTAGACACCTGATATAAAATTATATATATATATATTGATTGTATAAAATCTTATCAAGGAACACATCAGATATCAAAGAGATTTCATCAATGGACCTTCAGCTTTCTCTTTTCCCTCTGGTTTTTGCTCCTGTGTTCAGCAAGTAATTCTGTTTGTGTCAACTTTTTCCCTTCAGTGTAGTATCAGCTAGCTGGAGTATACAGCAAGGTAAGACCTTATGATCAGCTGTTTGGAGCTACAAGTCATAGACACTCATCATTGGTGATGTAGACCACCTCATCAGATATAGTTAAGCATGTCTGTATTCGTTATTCTTCAGTTACACATTAATGGAATCTCTTAAAATGATTTGGATCCTCTTCTTTGTCTTTATGACCAAGACAGAACACTGAAGTTTGCAGTTATTGAACTTTTTTTTTTGGCTCATTTAAGTCTGACTGGATATCAAACATTTACTTCATGTAATCAGAATGACACCTAGAAAGAAGAGAGCTACTTCCAACCTGTTGAGGCGAAAGAGAGGTGACACTTCTTTCACAATCGAATCCTCCAGGATTCCAACACAAAGCTCTACAGATATGAACGTGGATAACACCAGAGTAAACAAGAGATTGAGAAGCCTGCCGTTCATTCTCACAGGGGAAATTTCAAAGTCGACAAATGCTCACAACAGTGAGTTCGTTCCTCCAGATCCTTATACAGAAAAGGTTGGTGATGAGGCATCTTGCAGTTTGGCTACAAATGATCGTCAATATCAAAAAAGCAAAGAAAGCATCAGCTGATGTCCCAACTGCAATGAAGCCATTGCACAATGATAGGCTGAGCGTTGGAAAACCTGACTGTGTATGTCAATTCTGTGGTGCTTTTTTTTGGTATGCTGAACGATTGGATCGACACAGGAAATCCTTAAATCCTGTGTATAGTCTTTGTTGTCAGAAAGGAAGAGTTTGCATTCCCTGTTAAAGCCACCACCTCCATTGCTTGCTCAGCTGTTGGATCTTAATGGAGGTGCAATGTCGAAGCATTTTAGAGACAACATTAGACCCTACAATGGTTCTTTGTGTTTCACATCTTTTGGAGCCAAACTGGATCCACGCTCTTTGACAACAAGAGGACCTTACTCGATGGTTATTTGTGGTGAGAATTACCATAGGATTGGATCCTTACTTCCAGTTGATGGAGAGAGGCCTAAGTTTGCTCAGCTATATATATTTGAACCTGAAAATGAGGTTAACAATAGACTTGCAAACTTCGCATCTCGAGAGGAAGTCTTGCTGCCTGAGTTACTTGCAAGTTTGCTTCGAATGCTTGATGAAAACAACGAGTTGGTCAGAACATTTAGGCGCATTCGACAAGATCTCTAGCTTTCTTCCACACCAAATCTCCGACTCAGAATCTTTGGGATCAAAAGTAGGAATCGACAATATGACTTGCCAACTAGCTCTGATATTGCAGCCTTAATACCTGGTGATTTTGTTGCAGATAGGGAGGATAGAGATATCATTGTTGACCATCGAGGAGAAGGGCTGAAACGTATAACAAGCCTCAACCCAAAATTCGAAGCTCTTCACTTCCCATTGCTATTCCCGTACGGAGAAGATGGGTTTCATCCTCAAATTTCTTATAATGCCTCCTTTTGTCCAGCATCAATGCGCAGAAAATTTGTTACTCAAAAAGAGTATTATGCTTTTAGACTTCAGTATCGACTGAATGAGGGGCATACACTGGTTCAAAGTGGCAAGGCATTGCAACATTACTGTGTTGATGCATTTTCAACAATTGAATTCAATCGTCTGGCATTTCTTAGAACTCATCAAAAAGATTTAAGAGCAGAGGTTTATCAGGGGTTGCAGGATGCATTTGCAAAGGGAGACATGGATGGAGAAAAACTTGGAAGAATTATAATGCCATCATCTTATACAGGAGGACCAAGATATATGCAGCAACTATATCATGATGCCATGGCAACCTGTCAACATTATGGAAATCCAGATTTATTTGTTACATTTACCTGCAATGCTCTTTGGGAAGAAATTGTTGATGCTTTTGCAGATATGGTTGGACCAAACAGCGAGTTGAAGCCTATGGTAGTCTGCCATGTGTTTCACATGAAACTTGCCATATTAATTGACGAGTTTAAAAGAGAATCATACTTCGGGAAAACGATAGCCAGTGAGTTACCTGTAGATGACCTTTCATTGTATAAAATTTCTTTTATTATTTGAATGAGCTATCAAGTTTAAATGATGGACTGTTTTTTTACAGTAATATACACAGTTGAGTTTCAGAAGAGGGGCCTCCCACATGTCCATATGCTTATATGGTTAGCCAAAGAGGATAAGCTAAAGTCAACATCTGACATTGATGAGATGATTTCTGCAGAGATACCAGACCCCAATCTAGATCCAGAAGGGTATGCTGCAGTGGTTAAGTTCATGATTCATGGACCTTGTGGTGTTAACAACCCCACTTCACCATGTATGAAAGATGGTAAATGTTCAAAGTATTTTCCAAAAGAATTCTGTTCAGAAACTTCGTTCGACAAGTTTGGCAATGTCGTTTACAGAAGAAGAAATTCCGGCATTCAGGTTCAAAAAGGAAAGGCAATGCTGGATAATAGATATGTCGTTCCATACAATCGGAACTTATTGGTCAGAGCTCAAGCCCATATTAATGTGGAGATATGTCACAAGGGAGGCTTAGTGAAGTACTTATTTAAGTACATTACTAAAGGACCAGATAGATCTCTTATTGTTGCAGAAGACTCGACAAGCTCAGTTCAGGTGCCATCAAATATAAAGAAAAAAACCAAAGACGAGATACAAGAGTTCATTGATTGCAGGTCGCTGTCCTCATACGAAGCTATATGGAGAATCAACGAGTATTCTATACACCACAGAGAGCCTAATGTGGTTCGACTTGGTGTACACATGGATGGACAACAGAATGTTTCATACAAGAGAAGGTCAAATATTCAAAATGTTTTACAAAATCCAAGGGCAGGCAGAACTCATCTTACTTCATGGTTTGAACTTAACAGACATGATTGCAATGCAAGAAAGCTTACATATGCTCAGATACCAAATTCCTTTACATGGAATGAAGAATACAGTGAATGGACTCCAAGGAAAATAGGTTTCGCAATAGGAAGGATAGCATATGTTCCTCCAGGAAGTGATGATGTATTCTTTCTTAGGCTGCTATTGACCAAAGTAAGAGGAGCAACAAGTTTCCTCAATTTAAGAACAATACAAGGGGAGGTTTGTAGTACTTACGAAAGAGCATGTCAAAAGTTGGGGCTTCTGTCGGACTCTTCAGAATGGATTCAGGTATTACAAGAAATTCCAGCATCAAGTATGCCACACATAATACGGACTACATTTGTTTCAATGCTGATGTTCTGCGAGATACCTGATCCTAATGCTCTATTTGAATCTTCATGGAGGTTAATGAGTGAAGATCATGTTTATTCTCTTCGTAAACAGCTACACTCAAAAACTTTCCAGCCTTCAGATGAGAGACTTAAGAATTGGGTGTTACATCAGCTGGAAACTTTACTGAGAACTTATGGTTCTTCACTTCAGCAATTACATCTCCCAAGACCGACAGATTCAGAACCTGATGATGGATCGAATCCCCTGATTAATGAGCATCTTAACTTTGATGATGATCAACAAAGGTTACTGGCAAATACTATGGTTAGCAAACTGAACACAAAACAGCTAGAGGCTTTCACACTCATTATTCTCTCCATCAACAACAACCTTGGCACTTCATTTTTCCTATATGGCCATGGAGGAACAGGCAAGAATTTTCTCTACAATGCAATCATTGCAAAATTAAAAAGTCTTTCCAGAATTGCTATAGTTGTTGCCTCATCTGGAATAGCAGCCACACTACTACCAAACGGCACAACTGCTCATTCAAGGTTCAAGATTCCCCTTCATATAGACCATGCATCTACATGTTCCATAAAGAAAGGTACTCATTTAGCTGAGTTAATCCGTGCAGCTTCATTGATTATTTGGGACGAAGCACCGATGACACATCGAAATGCATTTGAGGCTATAAGCAGGACGTTTTGTGATTTGATGGACATACCAGTATCAGGTCTAAAACACAAGTTGCTTGGAGGGAAAACAGTAGTCTTTGGTGGTGATTTTAGACAGACACTACCAGTAATTTCAGATTCAGGAAGGGAACAAACAGTGGATGGATCAATCACAAGGTCATCATTGTGGCCCTTTTTTAAAGTGCTCAAACTGTCAAGGAACATGAGGCTTAATGATTCACAGGATAATAGAAACCTGGTCGGCTGTGGAATGAACTTTGGTGAGTGGATTCTGGCATTGGGAGATGGAAGGCTTCCAACAAAATCCTTTATGGCTAACACACCTTCAGATTGAATTCAGGAGAAGTCCACAGTGATCTGAGTGTGTGCCTGGAGTTATAGTGCTAGCATAACTACCTGGAAATTTTGTAAGCCAATGGCTGTTCGTGAAAATTCTATCCAGTTTACGAGCTATAGGATTTCGAGTTTGCTTATTTACCCAGGTGAAGCATTCCCCTGCTACTTTATGTTCTTCCAATTGCATTTCATCAATCCAGTCCAGAAAATCCTGACCACTAGACCCTGGAGGAGTTCCATTTGAAGCTTCAGATGCAGCAAGTATAGCGTTGAAATCCCCAAGAACTAACCAAGCCTCATTACTGGTTTGGATAGACTTCATTTGTGCATAAGTTTGGCGCCTTACTACTTCATCGTTAGACCCATATACCACAGTAATCTGACAGTCCTCACCTCCCCTAACCTTCAAATGCACAAAATTTTCCTCTATTATCTCAGTTGTAACCTTCAGATCCGGCTTATAGAATACCCATATCCTACCATTGGAGGATTTATCATAATTCTCCAAATACTTCCATTCTGAGAAATAATCAGTACATATTTTCCCCATTTTACTCTTTTGTACTCTGGTTTCTAGCACTGCCAAGATATCCACCTTTTGAGACCGCAGAAACTTACTGATAAACCCATGTTTTGAGGCTCTATTGAAGCCTCTCATATTCCATGAGGATACTATCATTTATGTTTAGAGGACCGTCCCCCACACCCAGCCTTCTTTCCCCTTCCACTGGTAATGTAGTCAAAACTAACTAGAGATGGATCAGCACCCCCATTAAACTCTATATTACCACCATCCCCTGAGAAGGATATCACTACTGCTTTCCCTTTAGGGAGTTTAGCAGCCACTGCAGGACTAACACTCCTTCTTCCCTGAATGACCTCTTGGAATTCCTCCTCTGAGGGCAATTTATCCACCACCTGTTCTTTCTCAGTAATCTTTTCAACCCCCTTCTCATGTGAAGGATCCAGCTGACATCCTTCAGTGCCTACCACTTCCGTGACAATATCCTTCATCGACACTCCAAGACTCGGACTCTCCTCTTCTTTATGCTGATGAAGATCACCCTGTTTCTCATTCTCCTAATGCAGCATAATCTCTGCCTCACTATGAGCAGGAACTTGAGACTGCTTTACCTTTGGAACCCACACTCTACGTACTGCAGAGACCTCTTTGCTACAATCATGTCCAAACCTTCAACACTTCTGACAAACAGGAGGTAAGTCGAAGTACTCCACAGTAGCTGAGAAAGGAGAACCTTCATCAGGGACAAACCTTAACTCCTTAGGGCACTCTGACTCCATAGTAATTTCAACACAGCATTTTGCAAACCCTAGTTGATCAGAAACACTAGTAATCTGAGAATAGAATGGCCTTCCAATCATACTAACCACCTTGCTCAAACATTCCGGCAACAGACATTCCATTGGTAGGCCTGAGATCTTCACCCAAACCGAAAGTCCAGGCTTCTCAGGAGCAACTGGCAGAATCCCTTTCTCCCATTTCCTCAAGAACAGATTATTTCCCCAAAGATGCCATGGACCTCCACGAAAGACCCAAAAACAAGTCGAAGCATTCGGAAATTGGAATACTAGAAGCTTATCTCCAAACCAGGAAACCCTAATTTTCCCATCTCTCCCCCATAGCTTGTTCGCCCAATTTCGAATGACAACTAGAGATGGCGGAGCAGAGATGAATTGACCTACCAAACAGTTTTGCCAACGAGTAGCACCCTTGTCCAGCAAGACCTTCGGCAGACGTAGAGCACCATCAACAAGATCCGGTTCTTCGTAGTGAAGCCGACAGCTCTCATCAATCGTGAAGAGATCTGCCCACGACTTCCCTGCGTCTGTCATGGAAATCGCAAGCCAACCAAAGAACTCGAGAAGGAAAAGAGAAATCCAACGACGAGGATCGCCGCCGGATGAAATCGCCGCCGGCAGGAGGCCAGACGGCGAAGGAAGTCCCGCTAGGGTAGCCGGGAACCCTCGACGGCAGGGCCAATCGAGCGGGAAAAGTTGTTACTCTCTTTTTTCTCTCTAATTTTGTCACCGATGTTCTAGCTAACAAAAGACACTCCTATCCTTTTGACACACATCAATTTGAGGTGAGCCACCCAAAACTTAAGATATTAAATGAAGTAGTTTTGAATCGAAGAATCGACCTGTTTCTGTTTTCTCTTCCCGGTGAAGTGGGAAGGCGCGAGGGAGAGCTGGGAAATCTCTACGACTTCGGGGTCGACGTCATCCATTGGAGCTTTTTGAGTGGAATTCTGGAGTGGAGACAACTAAAGAACAAGGAGACGGCGGCGGATCAATGAGTAGGGTAGAGTGATTAGGAAGCAATTGTCGTTTTATGCACACGCCACCGGACTCGAAAAGATCGGCGTCAAAGAAATTGGGCAGATCAACCGGCGCCCTGCAATAGGTCGGTTGCTTTTTAATTTGAAGGCGCGGAATTGTGAAGACAAAAGGAAGAAGCAGGCTTCTGATTTTATTCGGTTTGGGCAACGGAAAGGGGGTTAGAGTGGCCGGGGGCGGGCCAATATTTAGCCCATGGGCCAAAAATATTTAGCTGGATGAAATGGTTAAGGGTAGGAATGCCATGCGCAGGTTGGGACGAAAATTTCGATACTTGTACTCGTTTTGTAAGAGGTCGAGTTTATATTCGGAAAACAACAATCTCAATCATTAAGAAATGCAGTAAAAAGAAGGTGCAATGTAACATTTTATACAAATCTAATATAGACAAAGTACAAAAGAGATACATGAGTCATAAAAATAAGGGCTAATACCACTACAACACCCGAACTATCGATAAAATGCCACTTGTATCCTATTCTTTTCAATATTCCATTTATGCCATTTCGTATGTTCTTTTTTGTCATTTGTGTCCTCCCGATTTCGTTGACCGTTAAACATAACGGTTGACCAGACGGAGGTCAAACTGTTGTTGACTTATGCTGACGTGTTAAAAAATGTGATATCCACATAGGCGCCATGTCATTGCCACTTCATTTTTAATTCAAAATTATATTAAAATTATATTTTGAGAATCAAAAAATAAAAAATAAAATCAAGAATATTACTAAACAATATTATAAAAATCTAAAATTAAACAAAAAAGAAATCAAAATTAACAAATTCTATCTCGTCGTCTTCTCCCCTCCGCGGTCCTGGGCTCCGGTTTTCCGTCAAGCTCAATACCCCATCTCCGCCGTCTGTACTCCTCCTTGATGGACGCAACTTACGATTTGCACTTCTGGCCTCCGATTCTGTCAGCATCGGCATCGCTGACGGGTGCAAATAGAACCCCTTTATGCAATTGCACAGTCTTTCTGCCAAAAGAAGCTATGACGGATCCGAAGAAAAATAAAACAGATCTGGTTTCATAGTTGATGTCGCCGCTTCACCTCGTCGCCATCATCTCTCAGTATCCTCTTCTGGGCGTCTCTACTACCGTCGCGCGGATGGAATCTCACGCCAAAATCGATGAGAGGGGAGAACAGGTTCGTTCAAGTGAGACCCCCAAAATCAATGGTCGGATGGAATCCCACGCCAAAATCAACTGTTGCTGCTGCATTTTTCGGATTCAAGGAAACTCTTCCCCAGATCGATGGCGATGACCATCCTCCTCGAATCCCTGTGAACCCCCACCGGCCACCGACGACCCTCGCTCTTCTCTCCTCCGATTCAACAAAGGGTCTGACTTCCCAGAAGCCAGAGTAGCAGCCTCCACCTCCAATCGATGGCGCAGCCACCAGATCCTCGAAACCCCTTCAGCTTGCAGCAATTAGGGATTTGGGGTCTTAGTGATTGGAATTAGAAATTAATTTGACCAGAGTTCCCACTTCCCACTCGTTCCCAAGCCTTTTTTGTAGAGGGAAATTGGTTTGGAGTCTAAGCTCATCCCACCTCCATCGTCACCATTTTGTTGCGGGTTCATGCTTCAAGGTAGGGAGTGAGAGTGGGATTTCTTAGTATTGGCGAAGGAAGGAGGAGTGGCGGATGTGGTTATCAAGGAGGCGGTGGAGAGGGTGAAGGGGTACCCGAATCTGGGGAAGGGAATGGTGAGCTCCGACAGGTCGTGGATGGTTGGAGCGGCGATTGGCACGAGAGCGGGGAGGGTGACCGGAGGGGACGCATCCATCGCTGAGACGAGATGGGAAAGGGAAGGGGAAAGAGGCTTAATTTTCATTTATTTTATTTTAATTATTTTTATATCAAATAGAAATTGAATTTATAATTTCAAGTCACATGTCACGTCAGATGCTGACTGGTTTTTCTGTTAAATACTAACGGTCAACGCTGGTCAACACTAACGGAATAATAGTTCAGGACAGAAATGGAATATTGAAAAGAATAGGACACAAGTGGCATTTTGTCGATAGTTCAGGTGTTGTAGTGGTATTAGCCCTAAAAATAATTCAAACTCAACTAAGAAGACGCATTTTGGAATGATTATAAGAACTCTGAAGTTAAACTCAATGAAGAGATGTGTGACCTCTTGAGAAGTCACCATGATATATTTAAAAGCAAAACCGAGATTAGACCCAAAACGGAGGTAGGGCAAAGATGTTACAGGTGATAGTAGAACCTTTATGCGTCCATCTTGAATGTTGGTTGGGCAAACTTCTACAAGGACGTTAAATACCATTGAGGGATGATATAATACCTTAGATAAAACTCATATTGACAAATCAGGTTAGAGATCCATAGGTTATAAGGAATGATTCAATCATCATGTTTTGTGATGAAATGAATAATTTCCTATAAAAACCTTGAAGTTACATGTGCTCTTGGTGGAACCTTCCATGTCATCATTAAAATTTTTTTTTTTTTAAATTCCACATTTTGAAATACCACGTATTTCAAAATTAGAGTTTTGAAATTCAACAGAGACCTCCATGGCAGATACCTTCCATGTCATCATTTAAAATTATTAATTTTTTTTTGAAATTCCACATTTTGAAATACCACATATTTCAAAGTTAGCGTTTTGAAATTCAACAGAAACCTCCATGACAGATTTTACTGGATGGCTAATCATCGCTCTAATTTTACTATTATCGCCCTAAAATAAAACATAAAAATACTAAATTGTCCTTCATTAATCAAACCAAATTTAAAAAAAAAAAACCCCTGATCCTCTTTCAACAACACATACTCCTCTCCAAACACCCTCTGCCGCCGTCATCCCTGCCATCCGGCCACCGTTACTTCTTCTCGCCGTCGCCTACACCCTTCTCCTCAAAAAATGCACCATGACGATGACGAATTACCACCTCCAAACCAATTCCGAAAATCCATCGCTCCCTTGTTCTTCGCATCTCCCACGCCCCTTAACCAGATTACGCCATTTCTATCATGAATTTATGCACCATGGAAAGAAACTTTTCTATTGGCCCCGTCAACTTCTATACTTCTTTTTATATTGAGTTTGATTTTCTTTTGTAGCATCTTAATCCAATAGAAAACGGGTTGGCCGATTATGTAATAGTGGAAGCCTCGATCCCGATTGCACTGTTCCCGATAAGTCACCCTTTTGATTGATATGGTGGCGGCAGCCGGGGTTAGGATCGGCGGTGGTGGAAATGGTTAAGTGAAATTGTTTGGATTAATTGTGTTTTTTATTTCTTAACAATAAAAGGAGAGATGGGTAAAAGGGTAATAACAATTTATAAGTTAGGGCGATTACAATAAATTAGGGCGACAATTAGCAATTCCCATTTTTTATGTTTAGTTTTATGCTTTAATTTAATTAAAAATACAAAATTAGATAATATGTGGTGTATGAATTATTTATGGTTATTTACTTATTTGTGCTGATAAAACAGTGAAATGACAACTTGATCGTCTAGCTTTACGGTTAACTTTCGGTTGGATCAAATAAGTTATTTTTTATAATAGTATAAATAAGATAGAAATTAGTTAAGAGATTGACCAAATTGTTAAATTAGGGTAAAGTTTAGGGTCCTATGAAAATATTAATAAAAAATTGACCCAATAAGACTGGCTCCAACCCAAGGAGCTAAAATGCTAAATAGCCAAATTTGGCTTTTTTTCCTCCTCCAACCCAAAAAAAAATTGGAAGCAAAATATGGGTATTTGGTTTTTGGGAGTTAAATTTGGCTGGGTTTTGGGGTGGGAAGTGAAAATTGGCTGCCAAAAAGTGCATACAACGTCTGCTGGCGGGGGAGGGCGCAGGACGCGCGCCTGGGCCGCATGCGTCCTGCGCCCTCCCCCGTCAGCCGACTGTTTTTTTTTTCCTTTTAACTTTTGTTTTTGTTGGTTGGGAATTTAATTGATGTAGTGACGAAAAAACGGTCATATTTTAACGGCCATAAAAAACGGTCATATTTTAACGGCCATAAAAAACGGTCATATTTTAACGGCCATATTTTTTCTTATATATTACAGCACTCTTCATAGATTTCTCTTCACTCATTCTCAGAGCATAAATCGCATTCTCTCAAAATTCAATTGTTATCGTCTCTCAAAATAGAAATATGACAGGCAAGAGAGGACCTAATTGGCGTCCGAAGTTTTAACGGTAATATTTTAACGACTAATTTTTTTAAAAAAAAATTATCTCGGAATTTAAAAAAAATTACATCGAAAAATTTGTATTCAAAACTAATAACGAGTTATGAAAAAATTAAAGTGAAATATAAAAATTAGAGGTCAAATAAGTATGGTTTATTGAAATAAATTGAAAAATGGAAATGGGAAGCTAAATTTAGCTTTTTATAGGGTTGGAGTGAAAAGTGGGTTTGGAGAGCTAAAAAGTCATATTTGGCCATTTGGGGAGCTAAATTCCCCTGTTGGAGTTAGTCTAAGTCTGAAAGGCTTGCCCGCGGTTAGCTGAGCCTGAGCGAGAGCGTAGTTGGATAACGTTTCGGAAACTGGTCCGGAACCGGGCGGGCGGAGTGGCGATAGAATTTGCCGTTTAATCCTACTTTGGAGACCAGAGTAGAATGTGACTGAAAAAATGGCTTCCTCCGTTCCCTTTCATCATCTCGCATGCTGCTTTTCAGTATCCCAGGTACTCTCTCTTTCTTTCTTCGCACTCGCACCCCAAGTAAAGGTGAATATTGCTCACACCAGTAACTGGTACTGTGAAAAATGAAGCAGGAGAAGGAATGCTTCCAGCAGCAACTATGGCGGACAACAAGAGCCAGATACTCTAGCTCTAGAATTCGAGCGACCCAGCAAGCCGTTAAGGCCTCTTCAGTCGAAGTACCTGCCTTTCCTCTCTTTCAACCTCCCCAGCTCGAAGAAGCAGCCTCTGAGGTAAACATAAACCCTGTCTTTTCCTCCCATTATTTTCATCTCTCTGCCTTTCTTGCTGTAAACAGCTCTGAACTGAATTCCTACTTTCTATTATGCCATCCACGTGTGAATTGTGATGATGAGTAGTTAAATTTGGGATTTGATTGAAAAGACTCTTTCTTTTGTGCTCGTTGTAAAGAAATAGCATGTCAGTGTGGTGTTTGTTTCAGAATATAGTTGGCCGTTATGTCGAAGTATGTATGTATGTAATCCCTTTCACCAATATGACCAGTTGGAACCAGCAGACCCCGACTTCTACAAGATGGGTTATGTCCGGAGCATGCGTGCTTATGGAATTGAATTCAAAGAAGGGCCTGATGGTTTTGGAGTTTATGCTTCCAAAGATGTGCAACCCCTTCGTCGACCCAGGGTGAGTTTCTTCTGATTTCAGCAATATTTACCTTCCAGTGTGATGTCAATTGGTATCCAATTTTGGTTTTTGTTTGTCGATTTGTCAATTATTCATGTCTTTGTTTGGGGTGCTTATGGGACGCACCCCTTTGGAGAATGTTTCTATGTCTAATTATTTGGAGCTTTCTGTTTGTATGGACCAGATGATCATGGAAATCCCTCTAGAGCTGATGCTCACAGTTAGCAAGAAGCACCCCTGGATGTTCTTCCCTGATATAATACCGGTTGGTCATCCAATATTCGATATTATTAACTCAACCAATCCAGAGGTAACATTTGTTCTGAACTTCGACCCTACTTTTTTCTGTCTTAATTGCTCACTTTGCGGCTGGACACTGCTAACTTCGATTTCACATAATTTAACTTTAATCCTCCAGATTTTGTTGCTTTATGTTGCATTTTTAAGTTCTTGGAATTGTTTCGATTCTCTGTTATGGCTTGTTTTCTGTGGGCTTCTTCCTTATGTTATATATCTCTTTGTGGCAGACAGATTGGGACCTGAGGCTGGCGTGTCTTCTTTTGTATTCGTTTGACTGTAAAGATAACTTCTGGCAGCTTTACGGCGACTTCTTACCTAGCACAGAAGAGTGCACCAGCTTACTTCTAGCTACTGAGGTGTGTGGAAATGACCATCACATGTTTCATCCATTTACATAGATAAAGCTTCAGTATTTATTGGAGACACAAAACCATTTACTAAGCTGCCATAAAATACATTATTTAAGTGGCGTATTTGAAAGTTCTTTTTAGTGTAGGCTTATAGTTATGACTATAAAGCAGAATACAATTTCAAGTTGAACCAGGTTCCCACGGTGTACAACCCAAGATTGAATCTTAACCTTTCCCCCCTCCTAAACTGATAAATTAGAATAGTACCCTGTGTAATATCATGTATCATGTCCTTTTTTGTTTAGTCCACTCAGCTGTTCTTTACCTGCAGTTTCTCTACTCTTATTCTTGCTCGGACAAAAGTCCACTGATCTTGTTTCTGTCCCTTGATCCTCTATACATCTGTAGGATGAGCTTTTGGAGCTGCAAGACAAGGATCTTGCATCAGCTATGAGAAAACAGCAATCTCGAGCTTTTGAATTTTGGGAAAAGAACTGGGTCGGACAAGCCAATATCTCACAAAGCTTTTAACTAATTCGAAGTTAGTTGTTTATACCTTCTTCATATCTCGCTTCGCTAACAAACTATATGCATCTTCAATCCCACAGCATAGTGGCGTTCCACTTAAGATAAAGCGTCTTGCCCGTGAACCCGAGAGATTCTTTTGGGCACTTGGCATAGCCCAATCACGATGCATTAACATTCAAATGAGGGTTGGCGCTCTAGTTCAAGATGCAAACATGCTTGTCCCTTATGCTGGTAACATTCTGGCTCTTTGATCACACCCATCTTGGTATATAAATTTCTGACAATTCTTCAACTTGATCATGCAATCCTGTAGTGATGGTATGACCAAGTTGATTTTTTTGTATGACTGAAATTTAATTTAGTTAAGCTGCTTCATGAGTCTTCGGTTTTTGTTGCCTAATCGGGTACAAACTTTTTCAACTGTTAACATAATAAACTCTGAAATCACTGGTGGGAAAACCTAGATGCATGCACGTTTCGGTGTGATTTTGTCATTTTTATTCAGCTCCCATAATTATGGAGGTGTATTTTATCCGCTGTCTTTTAAAGCATGGATTTTCGTGTGGTAAATATTTGCAGATATGTTAAACCATTCACCAGAGCCAAACTGCTTTTTCCATTGGAGATTCAAAGATCGAATGCTGGAAGTGATGATAAATGCAGGGCAAGAAATCAGAAAAGGAGAGGAGGTACTGCTTAAAGTTTGAAATAATATTATCCTTTTGTTGAACTCTAAACAGAAAAGTCTCTGAGGATTAGTTAGAGGTCCACCATGGAATGCCTGGTTGATTTTGTTTATTACATATGCTGCTTGGTGTTCAATGTCTTTTCTCTACCTGTTGCATGAGTTTGAGTGACAAACAAACAACCACTCTTAACATTTTAATGCTTGGGTTTTGTTCTTAACATTCTCAGATGACTGTTAACTACATGCCGCATCAGAAGAATAACATGTTCATGGAAAGATACGGCTTCTCATCACCAGTGGTAAGTAAGCTGCCCTTTTAAGCCTTAAAAAGGCATAACAAAATGATCAAAACAAATGATTGCAGAATCCTTGGGATGAGATTCACTTCTCTGGCAATGTGCACATTCATTTGGATTCCTTTTTGTCCATCTTCAACATATCTGGGCTTGCTGATGAATACTATCACAACGGTAAGAAATCTTGGTTCTTTCTCCACAGTTTTGCATTCTCAGTGGATATAGAATCCAAAAGACTGATTCTCCTTTCTCTTGGCTGATCCACTCTGAACGGTAGATGAGCTATCTGGAAGTGAGGGGAGTTTCGTGGATGGAGCAGTCTTAGCAGCAGCAAGAACACTGCCCACTTGGTCAGACGGAGATCTGCCCCCCGTTCCCAGCTCAGAAAGGAGAGCTGTCAAGGAACTGCAAGAAGAATGCCGTCAGATGCTTGCTAAATACCCCACTACATCCGAGCAAGATCAGAAGATGCTAGGTAAATGTTTCAAAGATTCATGCAGAACAGGTTCTAGCAGGCAGTGTCTGTTTCTTGTTCTGCTTCTGTTTACTGATGTCGTTTGCTTATATTGCACAAAACAGATTCAATGTCAGAACCCAGGAGAACACTCGAAGCCGCAATCAAGTAGGTTCTTCAGTTAGTAATTGTTTACAACCTTTCGTTGTAAACTTTGAAAGATTTAACAATGTTGAACCCTGCAACGCTACAGGTATCGACTGCACCGGAAACTGTTCATCAAGAAGGTCATCCAGGCTCTTGACATGTATCAGGATCGCTTGTTATTTTAGTTTAGATGGATTGGACCCAGTTTTGACTTGCATAAAACTTTTGGTACGTTTGTCTAGAAATTATATGACCTCTCCTCTCCCTGATTCCAGAGTAGAGCCACCAAGTTGTATCCGATCAAGGTTTTAACCGATTCAATCAGAAGAACCACAATTTGCTATCAAATGTACCGTCCATCTACATGTTATGAATTATGATACTGGTGACTGGGAAATTCTTACGTCAGGAATGGCCAAGAACTTGGTTGCCACAAAAGCTGATCCAAACGCTTCATGGCTGCGTTGGCGGGAGCTTAGGCTTAGGGCGGCCTTCTCGGCCTTTTTTGTTTTAGGGTCGGGATTAGGGACTGTATATGGGCGTTGGGCCGTGCTTGGGCACGCTTCGGGCCATTTATTTCGTGTCGTGCTTGGCACGGTTCGTCAGTTTTTGTGTCATGCAAGCCGATTTGTTAACTTTGCTAGGCCCGGCTCGGGCACGGTTTGAAATTCGAATCGTGTCGTGCCTATTCGTGCTCGTGCCGTGCTTGTATTCATGTTTAATGAAAAGGACGAAAACAAATGAGACAATGAAAAAGAATGTGAAAATTGCATGGAGGAAGATAGTATTAACCGATAATGTTTGAGAAAAGAAACAAATCAGGGAGAAAAGAAAATTGAAAGTATAGCGAGTGTGATTTGACTTTGTTTAATTCTTTGTCCATTTTTACTTATGTTAGTAATTACGTATATATCTTTATGACACTTCTAACTACAACAAATAATTATTTCTACTTGTGTTTTGTAATATTTGAAACTATAATTCTTTTATATTTATTTTCTATCAAATAAATATTATTTTCGTGTCATGTCCTTTCTTATACTCAATAAGGTCATGAAAATATTAGGCCCGATACGGCTCACTTATGTATTGTGCCGTGCCCGTGCCCATGAAATTTAGGCTCGGCACAACCCATAAATTATTCGTGCTCGTACCGGGCTGACCCATTTATTTCGTGTCCGTATTCGTAGCGTACTCTAACCATGTCGTGCCGTGCTAGCCCGTGTACGGTACGTACCGGTGGCTACGTACACTCGGGAGTCGGGACGCAGAATTGAAGAGAGTGGGAAATTAATTTTCAGTTTCCTATTTCACTTCCCTGTGTCTCTTGGCTTCCTCCAAATTCCGCTCTCATCTGAAACCCTAAAAAATCAAATCGTCAAACGACGATTCATCTGCACATGCAAATCGTTTAACTTACCCGCCGCGCCGCTCACTGACAAACCTACTGCTGAACTCGGTCGCCAAACACTCGCCGGCGGACCTCCCATTCGATTTTGGGGAGTTGGTTCGAAAATCGCCAGCTAGTCACTCACCATCGGACCTCCTGCCGATCTCCTCATCTCACGAGCTAGTCCTCGCTCCTTCTACTTGTGAGCTCTCTCTCTTCGTCTCTACCTCCCTCAATCGTTCAATTTCTAGCTCAATACTTAGAAATTCATCAATGGCGCGCACTGTTTGGCTGCTAAGTAATGGGTGTTGTTTTGTGACTCACTTTGTAGATTAAGTTGCGATACTCAGTCTCTATTATCTGAAAACGCATTAGTTTTGTTTCCGTATGAAACATTATGCTCTGATGAATGGATAGCTTTTGTTCGTTCCGCCAGTTCCAAGAAGCTGTTCTTTGATTTCTTTTTTAATTCCAGCAAGTTGTCCAATATATTGCAGGGAGAATAAACTTTTTTTTCTTCTTCTGTTGAGTCCCCCTTCAATTTATAAGTTGATCGGTTGGTAAATTTGATTTGGAGCTTCTCAGTTTTCAGTTTTCCCTTGCAATATTCTGTTGCAATCTGTTTCTCTTGTCAAATGAGTAGTCCAGCAACTGTGTTAATTAGTGAGAAGAACCTTTTTTTCTGGTTCGAGGTTGGATATTGTTTGACCACCAATTAATGGTAAAAAAAAAAGAAGAAATTACAGTAATCTTGTTAACCACCATTTTTGTACATACTCAAAGCAGTAACATTTTTTTCTTCCTTATGGAGTTCATCAAAAGAAGTCCCAAAGTTCTTCACTTTCTGATAACATGGAGCTCCCCTGACTCTCGATCAACATGTTTGATTCCCCTACTCTTGGCTTTTTTGTGGCATGTTGGTGGCCTGTATTTTGTGGCACTATTTTTCTGATTGGAGAATCTTATGTAGTTTTTTGTTTCTTTGTTTCTTTTACAGCCGTCCCTCTTGGCCTCCTCATCAGTGCCCGTTGTACTAGCTAGACCGCTGTAATCTCCACTCACCGTCTCCAACGCTTGCATACCTCAAATCCTCCGAAGTCCAAAATGAGCGGCGTGGGGCTGAGGAGGCTCCTTGAAACTGCGGTGACCCAAGGGGTGACAGAAGCTAGAGCTAGGATATTTGGGCATGTTCTAAACCCAACAGGACAACGATCTCCCCACAAATTACTCCGGAAGAAGCTCATCGGCGAGAAAGTCTCCCAGTGGTACCCTCACGACATCACTAAGGACGACCCTCTTATCATGGCCGCTCGAGAACAGGAGTATGCCCCCTTCCTCCTCTACTCTTCACTCTTGTATTTTGGCCGCGATGTGCTTGACTAAATGCCTGCTGTGACTGTGTGCCTTATATTGAATAAGAAAGAACTTTATGCTAATTGGTTGTGCAGCCTCCTGATAAACAGAGTCAATGATCTGTTGCAGATATAGATACAAGCTGCTATGATGCATATCCAATGAATCCATGAAATGTTGTTGTTAATGGTTCCCTGCAACTTTTCTTTTTCCTTTTTTCAGGCGGCTGTCCAAGCTTGAGATGTTGAAACGTCGTGGGAAGGGCCCCCCTAAGAAGGGGCAAGGAAAGGGTGCCGCCAAGCGTAACAAAGGGAAATAGATCCATTGATGCATACTTCAGATTAGATTCTCGGAGTTTGTTTTCATTTATAACAACCCAGAATTTGTATTTGCTTCGTTGATGGCTTGTATTTTGGCCATCAATCTGGAGGAGGGTATAGTTATCTCTCTAAATGAAAGGTCGTTTATCTGGTATTTGCGAATCATAACATTTTCTACAGCTTTTGATTCTTCTTTATCAAATGTTACTGTTCGTGCACATCTAATCTAGCAAGAGTAGGGAATCTGTCGTTTCGAGATTGTTGAGAACATGCTTTCAGGAATAAGGTAATGACAATCAGTTCTTCCTATCTTTGAAATGTACTTTGAGGCAGCATTACTATATCGCAGACTTTTGTTGCAAAAGCTTGAATGTTCTTTGCTAGTGGTTACTGTAATGATACTTGCAGTGGGGTATTGAGGATGCCAGAAGCTATCCCACCAGTTTCTCATTGTTCTGTCATAGTAGTGTATCTTTCTCGTCTTTCGTCAAGCCAACAAAGACATCTAGGCTTGAGAAGAAAGCAATGAATGCACTTGAGAGCATGACAATGAGAAGCGCGGTGATAATGGGTGTCCTAGTTTTTGGATGAACAAGAGCATATGCAATATGTGCAATATACCTCGCTCAGCCGGAGCCCTTACTGGGAGAACAGAGGTCATCGTCTTACCGTTATAGGCAACAAGTGTTTACCAGTAATCTAAGACGACAACTGAAGTATGTGGTCTCATCAATGGAACCTCCATGATATGGTAATATATCAAGAGTAAATACAATATACTAGCCACAACTATTATGAAGCGGGGAATTATAGCCACAATTATGGAAATTTAAATTATTAGCCAAACGTTAACTCTCTATCAACAATTCCGTAAGTACTGCTGACTAAACTTTTATGCTTTAAAGTTATAAATTAAAAGCATTCCGACGTGACTTCTCCCGTGACCTTCTCCGTTAAAAATTCAATAATAGTAAAGGACAATTAGCCATATCTTGACCCGCAATAATAGTTATGGCTAATAATTTGAATTTACATAGTTGTAGACTTGTAGCTATAATTCCCGCTTCATACTAGTTGTGGCTAATATATTGTATTTACCATGCCATATATAAATTCTGCAATAGTTGAGGCATCAACTACATCCTAGTGACGGCCAGTAGAAACTCATTAGTCTACAGAAGTTCAGCTTGCTCTCCTGACTTGATGGATTACTTGGAGGCTGCAGCCAAATTGTCACTTACAGAAACAATGAACTGATAACAAAATGAAAAATGGCCAGCAGACTGCAGATACAAGTATGCCATTGTTGTGTCGCTAATTTTCAACATTTCAGGCACCTAACCTACTGTATAAGTTTGTAGCCAAAAGAGTGAAAAAGGTACCAAGGTATCCAAATTCTAGAGTTGGAAGAAACATGAGAAAAGAATGAAGGGTAACTGGTTTGAATGATGTGGTGATGTACTATGTCCATGATTTCCAAGCCTTGCGCACTTTATTGGCAAGGTATCTACCAGCATTCATTCCTCCGGCAGCCACGACCCCAGAGACTGCCTGCCTTAAGCTGGAAACCATTACTGTACGCCTCACCACCTTCTGCATGCTTCTTGCAGCCTCTTCTCTTGAACTGAAGACTACTTCCTGTACAACCCGACCTACACATATAGACAATCAGGAGGGTTAGAATAGAGACCACCAACACTCTGAAATTTAATACCAACCATATCACCATCAACCCTATTGAAGTAGATCTATCCTACTTGAATCGCCAATTATCTTCTGCTCTCCTAGCTGTGTCCCCAGTTTGTTTCTGATCAGCGGAGGTAGAGAGCAAACAAGAGACCGTGTTGCTGGCAGACAATAGTCCTGCAGTTTTTGAGATTTGCAACATGTATGTGAAAACGATGAAAATACACAAGATGAACACTTATTGTGTGAAGAAAAATATAATCATGGAATACAAATAAACTGCAAATGCAAACATCAAGATATGTCCATCTCATCCTAATATGAAGTGGAAATCTAGCAGAGCTGCCATAAGACATGCCGGGTGATTTGAACATAAGGACAATATTGTTCACAGCTACAAGAATGTTCCTTCACGAGTCTTTTGATTCCAAACACACAAATTATAACCAGATGTTAGAGTTGAAGACTAGGAAATTGCAAATGAACCTGAGAGAGAGACTTTTGTTGTCCACCAATTGAAGATACTCTTAGTATCTCCTTTGCCTCGTATTCTTCAATGAATGGCTTATACATTGAACGGAACAAATTGAATTGTCCTTGCACAATTTTCTTAACCTGAGGAATGTGCATATCATAAACAGTGTAGAATCAGCACCAAGTCATTCAGAAAGAATGGAAAGTGGAGTTATATTCATCTATATTATAGCTACAGAAGAACCGTAAGTGCAACTTAAAAGACAAAAAATAGAATGGTAGAGCATTAAAAATGTGGTTCTGCAATCTGAACCTTGTCAAGCAATACAGTCAAGTTCCAAATTTATTCCTTAACTCATACCTAAACCTTCAACGAGGGTTGAGGCTAAACCTTGAGAGGTAAAATCATGTGGTGACTATCATCACAGCATCAAACAATGCCAAACTTCAACTGAGAAAGCTACAGTCAAACAAACCTTGTTTTTGTCCTCTGCGAAAAGCATACGTAAGTCACCCATGTAGGACAGGCTACATATCGTCGAATATAGATCTTCCTGCACAAACATAAAGCACCTTAAATCCTATGCATATCTATCTTTATTTTTCTTCGAAATTGATGAAATACTCAAGGCTTAAACTCTGACACATGATCAAACCTCATTGAATTTAGATGGTAAAATGAGGAGAGCAGCAGCGACTGCAGCCCTGAGATTAGCGGCATTTAAATTCTCAACATCCAAATTGTCCAGAAGTACACGAACCTACATTCAATAAAGCCAGCAATTGTAAACTCAAGTGTATGGCACAGGAGTTTATTTGACACGCCAGGAAGAACAAACGAAAATTTGATGAAAGAACAGGAAGCAAAAAGTTCAGAAATTGCATTTGGTGGTATGAGATTGATATCAATTTCAACTGGCTATATCATTGGCACCTTATAATATATTCCAATAAATTTCTCAATTGTGAGTTGGCTTATAAGAGAGTCCTGCAAATGTATAGCGCGAAGCAGAAAATGGTCTAACCACAAACTCGTAAAAGGATAATCAAAAGAGAGGGAAACATACTGGTTTCTGTAATCGACCACTTATGTAAAACCTCTGCCAATTTAGAACGTCTTCAACCAGATCATGCATTCTAACAACCCCATATTTGAGCATCTGCCAGAAATTGCTTAAGCATGAGAAACTACCACAGATTACTGGAAGAAGAAACATTAAAAACATAAACTACATTGATCTGTTTGAGTGAAGTTCAAGTAAAAGCAGTGTCATATCTAATTATTTCACATAAATAAGAATACCTTCTCATTCCAAGTAACAAAAGGGTTGAAGTGCACTCCTACACCGATGCCATCTGCAACTTCAGTGATCTAATAAAATCAACAAATCATATATCTTGGGACTATGGAAATAAATAACTGACAATTGAGCGAGAAAGCGAAGGGGAGAGAAAGAGGCACCAGTTTTGCTCCCCCAAGGTGAACCATCCACGAGGCATAATGACTTCTATTCAATTCCAGATTCTAGAAAAAACAGAAGTAAAGAAGTGGGCATTAGACGTTCATGCAACCACAATGGAATACAACCCAGAATGCCTATGCAATCTATTTTTTTTTTTTTTTACCTCTGAATGCCATTTCACAGGATCTGCCACGCCAAGGATATAATCCACCATTGAAGACTAAAGGCCAGCAATATCATTTGCATTTGAAGTTATAAATTTGAACGAAGGAAAACAGTCTCATCTAGAAACTTTTTAGGCAGAGGTCATGTAACACCAGGGAACATAGGAAAGAACCTTGTCAGAGTTATTTGGATGGAGCGTGGAACCATACACACAACAAAACTCTACAGGGGGTAAAGTTTTCAGAAACCCGGCAAGCTCAGTCTTTTCTTCGTTCTCCATGATGCCATCAGAAATTACCATGAACCCACCTAAGAAAGCATAAAGAACGAATCAGTGAACAATTGAACATATATCAGACACCTAAAGGCCTCCTAACCCATGGAGACTCGCAATTAATCCAAAACAAGCAATTGGACGCATGGCATTGAATTAAGGCAAACGCTTTCAGTACTAAAGTCGCATGTCATACCCTTCATCATTGTAAGAATGGGACACGAAGCAAGTTCAACAGTTTAGCAAAGATCACCATTTAAATTCTGGATGCTAAATCAGAAAGATGGGCCAAAATTACAACAAAGGATGGCAACACAAGACGAAAGATAGACCAACAATACCTGTTTAGTTATTCAGCTGGGCCTTTTCTCAAACACCTTCCGTGCTGGAGAATAGTGACTTTGCAGCAGTACTTAACAGGACGATACCTCCTCAAATTAAGCTGTCAAGTTACACAAAGAAGCCATAGCATCGACACCAGAGGAAGTTAGCAAAACTGTACAGTCTAAATACTCCAATTGAAGCTCATATTAGAAGTCAAAACCGAGTTTGTCGTTTGTTTTTCTCTTGCAGAGTCTATTTCATTTACATGACGAGTTGTGTTGTCAAACTCACCTAGTCATTTGAAGCGGTGGCCAATTGGGCTCGAGCCTGCTCAAGCTTACCAGCCCCTGATCCAATGGGCTGTTCTAACTTCTAACACTAGTCTTAGAGGACATCTTATATTAACCTCCGATTTGAAAAAAAATCCTCCAACAATATCAATCTATCTTCTATAAAAAAAAAAAAAAAAATTATAATAGGGTGTTGCTAAGAGACTCCCCGCAGAGACTAAGTAATACCGCGTCCAATCGACAACGGATGACGCTCTAAGCCCGCTACTAGTATATAAATGTATGAACCCCACCAAGGAGGGGGACTTCTTCCCTCTCCCCCTGACTTTCCACTTTCTACTATCTCTCTACACTTTATCTCTCTATCTATTCTCTCAACTCTCTTCACAAACTGATACTGACTTGATCGTCGGAGCTTAATCCGGGGGGCAACCCAGGCTCTTTCACAGGTTCTCTCCCTCTCGACGGGATCGGACGAACGGATGACGAGTCAACCCACACCAACAATCATTATTGTTCATACCTCGAGCCAGTAGGTTCAAACAATTGGCGCCCACCGTGGGGCTGATTTGGATTCGTTCGTTCGTTCGCGGAAGGAGGAAGAACTATTGATCTGAAATGAATACAAAAGCTTCATAAAAAAAAAACCAGAAAAGCCAAAGCAGAGAAGAAGAAGAAACAACAAACGGGGAGAGAGGACTAAAGAGGAGCCACCGCACCACCTCCGAGCCAGCAGCTCCCAGCCAGGAGAGGTCGTCCTCCATGGATGTACGTTTTTGTTTCTTCTTCGAGGGAGAAGGATCTCCCACTACTCCAGCTGGGACTGGGAGAGATTGAAATAAAAGCTCCCACAAATGAATCTCATTTCCTAGCTAGCTCCCACATCCATCTGTGACTCTATCCCCTACAAAGTTCATCCAAAAAAGAAAGAGGAGAGAAAAGCTCAACAAAAAAAAGAAGAAAAAAAGGGGGGGGGGGGGGGGTGCAGTGAAATTTCCCCAGATTCCGAGCGCCGGAGATAGGGGCAGCACCGGCGCCCTGACGAAAAAGAAAGAAGAGCCACTCTCCAGTCAACATAAGTACTTTCTATTCAGTCACCTCAACAGTAAAAAAAAAAAGAAACAAACCTCAACAGTAAAAAAAAAAAAAAAAAGCAAAGCCACCTTCTCTCCTGTCAGAGGGAAGAGACAAGCGAAGTTCCCAAGAAGCCACCTTCCTCTAGCCCATCCTTCTTCCTGTCAGAGGGAAGAGACAGGCGAAGTTCCCAAGAAGCCACCTTCTTCCAGCCCATCCTTGCTCCACTCCCGCGTCAAAAAATGTCGTCGTCGCCAGTACTCGAACCAGCGCCACTTCTCCACCAGACGTACAAGTTAACCAGCGGACTAAAGCACTTTGTTATTACTAAAACCGCACCGCGCCCTATTTATTCACTCTGACTCACCTCAACAGCAACGCACAAAGTGGGCTCTCGGGCAACTCGCGGCCCACCTCACCGCCTGTCCAACTCGCGGACGTTCTCCAAGGCCCACCTCGCGCACAACTTCGTCCGCTCCCAAGCTCGCGGCACAAGCATCGCGCGCAAGCCCAACTCGTGCAGCATCTTCCCCCAGCCCGCGACGCGCACAAGCCCACCATCCGCCTGACCTCCAGCCCGCCACGTCCGGTCCGCGTCACCGGCACTCGATGTGCGCAAGCCCAACTCGCGGCCCAACTCGCGCGAGCACTCGACGGGCGCAAGCCCAACTCGTGGCCCAACCCGCGACGCGCGCAAGCCCAACTCGCGTCCGACCCGCGTCACCAGCACTCGACGCGCGCAAGCCCAACTCGCGCGGGTATTCAAGTGATCAGCACTCTTCAAAAAATGTCGTCGCAACGAGGACTCGAACCCATGCCACTCTTCCGACAGGCAAGCATCCTTACAAGCAGGCTACAACCGAGCCTTGTGTTTCAATGGTGTGGCGTCTGAATTTTAACATTCACGCCCACTCAGTTCGCAAGAACAAAAATTAGCAATAGTCCAGCACTATTCGCGCCCACTCAGTTCGAAAGAACAAAAAATAGCAATAGTTCCGCACTATTCGCGCCCATTCAGTTCGAAAGAACAAAAAATAGCAATAGTTCAGCACTATTCGCGCCCATTCAGTTCATAAAGAACAAAAAATAGCAATAGTTCCGCACTATTAGCGCCCATTCAGTTCATGAAGAACAAAAAATAGCAATAGTCATGAACTATTCGCGCCCACTCAGTTCGACGGAACACAAAGTAGCAATAATCATGAATTATTTGTGTGAAAAATATATATATATATAGGAGAGCCCAGCCGCTACTCACCATGCCAGCCCACACTCGCGCGGTCCAGGCGCCCGCCCAACTCCATCTCGCGGCCCATTTTCACCTTGCCAGCCCACACTCGCGCGGCCCAGGCCACCGCCCGCTTAAATCCATCTGATCCGCCTAACAAGCCCGCGCTACTCACCATGCCAGCCCACACTCTCGCGGCCCATTTTCACCTTGCCAGCCCACACTCGCGCGGCCCAGGCCACCGCCCGCTTAAATCCATCTGATACGCCTAACAAGCCCGCGCTACTCACCATGCCAGCCCACACTCGCGCGGCCCATTTTCACCTTGCCAGCCCACACTCGCGCGGCCCAGGCCACCGCCCGCTTAAATCCATCTGATACGCCTAACAAGCCCGCGCTACTCACCATGCCAGCCCACCGCCCGCTTAAATCCATCTGATCCGCCTAACAAGCCTGCGCCACTCTCCGCGTCAAAAATATTATTGACGCCACCGAGAATTGAACTCGCGTCCTTCCTCAGCCAAACAAGCAACATCACCAATAGGCTGCATTCGCGCCTTGTGATCCTTAGGCGCAACACTCTTATTTCAATAACTCTTCAAGCCCCGACCCACAAAGCAACCGCACCAAGTACAACTTGCGGCCCAAGTCCAACGCCCGCCCGCTTAACTGGCCCGCACTCGCGGATCCAAGTCCGCCCCATCCATCCTTGCTCCGACAGGAATTGAACTCGGGTCCTTACTCCGCTAGGCAAGCAACATCACCAGTGGGCTGCATACGCGCCATGTGATCCTTAGGCGCAACACTCTTATTTTAACAACTCTTCGAGTCGCTTCGCCAACATAAAGCTAAGTACTCTATACCTCTATTATTATTAAATATTGAAATATTTTACTTTCATGAGCGTTAATGGCGCTAAGTTAAGAACCCCGATGAGGAGAACTCCAAACTGAGGGTTAAAAACACCCCGACGAGGAGAGCTCCATGAAGAATCTAAAATGGGTGAAGGCTACAAGCATTAATGAAATATACCAACTGGGGGGCAAGACGCAAGAAGGTGGCACCGCGTCAGTCAAACGCGCCACCAGCTGGGGGGCAACTGGGGGTACATAGGGCCCCACCCAAAATTATTGACGAAGATTTAAAAATAAAATAAAATATAAGCTAGTGATGAGTTAAAACTCACCACCAGCTTGGGGGGCAATTGTTGGGGGTGTTGCTAAGAGACTCCCTGCAGAGACTAAGTAATACAGCGTCCAATCGACAACGGATGACGCTCTAAGCCCGCTACTAGTATATAAAGGTATGAAACCCATCAAGGAGGGGGACTTCTTCCCTCTCCCCCTGACTTTCCACTTTCTACTATCTCTCTACACTTTATCTCTCTATCTATTCTCTCAACTCTATTCACAAACTGATACTGACTTGATCGTCGGAGCTTAATCCGGGGGGCAACCCCGGCTCTTTCACAGGTTCTCTCCCTCCCGACGGGATCGGACGAACGGATGACAAGTCAACCCACACCAACAATCATTATTGTTCATATCTCGAGCCAGTAGGTTCAAACAGTATTTTCTCATTTTATGCTTCTTTATTTCGATTGCGTTACAGTCTCTGTCCCTCTCCACCATTAATTGCTAAATTAGATGCTCAACAATGGGCCTGATAATTCTCACTGCATGCGTTTCCTTGACAGGAGAACCAAGGTGCTAGATGGTTCAGGGATAACTTGACTGGGATTTGATGGAGGCCCTGGCGGTTTGGGGATGAAGGATTCATGGCGTTCGAGCATTTTGCTCCTGCTGGTTGTGCTGGGTGTTTGTTCTCCTGTCCTGTTGCTGTTCTGTGTGTGGTCTGAGAGCTTAAAGCTTTTTCTTTGGGCATTGGCGGTCCTTGTTCAGGGCGGTCTGGCGCTGTCGCTCTCCTCCCATTCTGCAGGCGCTGCTGCTGCTCGGTTTCATGGACGTTGGTGTTGGGTCGCGGGCGATCAGCGATGGGCGGTGTGGTTGCGGTCGAGCTGCTGCTGTCGAGCTTCTGCCCCTTTTGGGTCTGTTCTTCGGGTGCTGTAGTTTGTTTGTCTTGGTTTGGGAGTGATGGGTTTTAATTTCTCTAGTTTGGGGGGTCCTTAGTCTGTCTTTTTGCTCCTCTTTTATTTTATTTTTTCAATTTCGCTTGTGGGTCTGGTTTGGGGATGCACCGCTTGTGCTCCTGTCTGTTTTCCCCTTTCCCTTTGCTCTTTGGTTTGAAGTTGAACTGGGTTTTGTGGCCTTTGTTTCTTTTCCTATTAATGCAATTTTCACCCTTATATATAAAAAAAAAAAAAACAATGGCCTGATTTGGTTGGTTTCGTGAATGGATTTGGGCTTGGGGGTTGGCAATCTTGTTAGGAAGAGAGGAGAGCTCATGGAGGACGTAGGGCTCTGGATTAGAAAGATAAGAATTTTTTCTTTAAAAAAATAATTAATTTTTTAAAAGTAAAATATGATGTGTCACACATGATGTTGAGTTGTCGCTGACGTGTGCGTTGATTTGGCATTCTTGTGATTGTACCGTTAAAATAATTGATATGGTCTCTAACACAGTTAAAGTTTGTGATGGAAATGGGTAGATTTGTCATACAACCATTGAAAATTATGGTCATTTTGCGCATTTTTCCAAAAGTGACTATTATTATAAAAAATACTAAAGTTGTGACTATACAAGTGTATTTTGT